TCTAATTTCAAAACATTTCATCCCCCCAAAAGGTCTGTGTTGACTCTTGGTGATCACATATTTCTTTTCTAAATATTTGCAATTCATATTTTAAATGTAATATGTTGTAATAAACTATACTATTACCAAGGCTTTATGACAAATGTAGCCTCTTCTACAGTGAGAGTAATTAGAGAAAATCCACTCAACAGTATAATTACTTTGATTTGTTTTTAATCCCAATATTTAATTTAATTTTAAATACTATTAAAGAGTGAGAGTATTATATGTTTATTGATGGGGCACAAACTGAAAGGCAGATAGACTTCAGCTAAATGTAAAGAACTTTCTCAGCTGTTCAGAGCTGACCAACAGCACAAAGCAGGAAATTCTCCATCACTACAAGTCTTCGTTGTTGTTGTCAGCTGACTTTGGTTGACCCACAACTAATGGCAACCAAAATGCTGCCTGGTCCTGAACCACCACGATTGGTTGTAGATCAGATCATTATCATCCACAGAGTTTTCACTGGCCGATTTCCAGTAATAGATCACTACGCCTTTTTTCCTTGTCTTAGTCTAGAAATATGGCCGAAATCTGCTTAGCATCATAGCAACAGGTAACCCTCCCATGACAGATGAGCAGTGACTGTGTATGAGATGCAATGGCCAGGAATCGAAACCTGAGTCTCCTGCACAGGAGGCTAGAATTCAATCAATGAACCACCAATGCCTCATTCAAAGAAGTCTTTAAGGAGAGCTGAAAGTCCATTTCCCCCCTTGTAATGGAGCACAAAGAGTCCTTTAGGTATAGGGAGCAGCACTGATTAAATGAGTGTTTCTCAAACTACAGTGGCAAAGCACTAGTTTTATTTTTTTTTAAACTTCAAATCTGGGATGGACCAATACTTCTGCAAAATACCAAACTATTACACATTATGACATCACAGTAACATAAAGGTTTCTCAACACTTATTTTCCATTTCTGTTTTAACTTGTTGCATACTTTTAACTTGTAGCAAACTGAGGACTGGCACTGACAGGCGCACTACACCTTGAATAGCACTAGATTAGATAATTTGTAAGAAATTGCTGAGGTTCAACAGTTTTTCAATCTTACCCAGTTTGTCATCCCTTCTATACTCACTGGGTCTTAATACCAAACTACTGATTTTATAACAACTAATACCAGGAGGTCAGCGGTTCAAACCCACGAGCTGGTCCATAGAAGGAAGATGAGGAGATCTACTTCCTTAAAGATTTACAGACTCCGAAACTCAATGGGGGTCACTGTGAGTCAGAATCAACTTGATGGCAGTGAGTTTGGTTTTTTGGTTTAATCTCATTCTGCAGCATTTTAAGAAAGGCAGCAACCTAATGATACTAGACTGAAAGAATTAGATCAAGGACATGAGATGTGTTTACTTCATTAACCTTTTATCTCACTAAACTGAAAGAGCAAATTCTACTTTTTATCCAAACACATCTGAATGCTCATTTAATACTGATTACGAAAAAAATTATTTTCAGCCATTTCCCACACCTAATTTTCTGGTGTCACTTTCTTTGCACAGCTGATAATGAAATGTGTAAAAAATTATAGCTGATCACACAAAGAAAATTCCAAATTTATTCTACCAGCTGGTAGCAAAACCAACAGGAAAGAGGTGGAGGAACATACTCATGCATTTCAGAAGCACTGGGTATAGGATGTAAAATTTTTAATCACTTATAACATCCAGTGGTGACCTGGAGAAAATCAATACAATGAAGAATGAAAAAAGGTGGCAAAATTAAGAGCTCTCTATTCTCCTACTTCCACAAATACTCTTGCCTTTCTCTCCCCAAGGACAATCAATGAATATTTTTGTTAAAAATCTCTTTCTGTGTTTCCATTAAAAACAAACAAAACAAAAAAACCTTCCTCCTCAAGAGACAATTTTCAGATTTATGACATATCATCTCCTAACTCCGTCATACACTAATTTTTTTCCCTCCAGAAGTTACAATATTCCTTAATTCACTAGCCTTCTGCTGGAGCAGGGATTCTTAATATTAAGTCTATGGATGGGTTTCAGAAACTGCAAATTTTTCAAAATTGTGATGACTGAGCAAATATTTGGAGAAAATGCCCACAGTTTGTACTATATTCTTAGCACAATAACCCAAAAATAGTAAGAATATTTTTCTTAAATTAAAATTAAAAATATGATCTGAATAGAAACAGAGATTCTTCAGAATAGGCATATAAAGATTTGACATTAAATCAGGTAACCAAAAAGAACTTCAGAAATAATGCCCTTCATTCTATAGATGATAAAACTGAGAGGTTAAGAGATAAAACTAGAGAAGTTAAGGGAATGTTCATGGCCACACTGCTAGCTGGAAGGCAGAAGCCAGAGAAAAATGCTGGCTTCCTACTCCCAGGTCCATTCTCCCACACCCTGTTACCTACATAGGGCCAGATAGGAGGATAATCATTTACTGACAAAGTCAACAAGCCCAGCCCTGATAAACACACTACCTCATAATAAAGCAAGTAATTATTTAAATATTACTGGATCACAAGATATACATTTTCTACTTTACTAAATGTTTCTAAAACACATATTCTCTAAGATACATTTTAGGGTTTGCTTCTCTGCCAGTAAGTACATTCAATAACTCGTCAGTCATCTGAAAGACATGAATGCTTGATCCCACTGCAATCAATCAATCAGAGCAGGACATACATTTGACTTGGAAGGGAAAGAGGCTGTTTCAGAGACAGAGGGCTTAAAGGAGACACTTAAACACCTTTCTTTCTAAGCCAATTACAGGCCGTACCTGGGTTGCAAAGGAGATCTGGTCATAAAAATCTTTGAACAGAATTTATAGGTAAGTCAGAACAGGTG